AGCCAAAGCAGCCATGGATCTTCTTCCACAAACGTGTTTCTTCAGCAACATGGTCAAGTTTAATAAAATAACAAAGCTTATAACTTTCACAGACGTTGATCGAAACAGAAATGCAAGAATCCCAACAACTAAAGAACCTATATAAACTGGTTCCTACAAAAACCAAAAAAAAAAAAAAAAAAAAAATCAAAATAAACAATTGAATAGTATATTACAATAAAGAAGGTAAGCTTATTAAATTCATACCTCATGAGCTAACCGTCTCAAATGATTAATGGAGGATTTGGTTTCTGGGGGTTGAAGATTTAAGGTTTGTTTTGCAGCAAAAGAGCGTTTCTTGGCCCGACAAGCACGAAACCTTTCGAAACCTCTGAGGAGTCTAGATTTGAGAGTTGGTCGTTGTTGATCGGGAGACTCTGATTTCACTCGGAGGATGAAGTACCTCCGGATCCTAAACAAAATGGAGAGTCGATGGAAGTTCCAGGAGGGAAAGGGTAATGATCTTGTTGCTTTGAATCTGAAATTGAAGTTCTTGGATCTTGCGTAAATGTTGATTCTCCATGGCTGCTGCTGCTTCTCTGCTTGCATTATTTGGGGAAAAAGCAGAGTTGGCGAGAGTAGACTTTACTAGCCGTTGCGTTTCTATTATTATTAGAGTTCATTTTTTGAGCTCCTTAAGGTTTCATATTTTACAGTAACACCCCATACTTATTAGAAATTTTTAACGACCTCCCCTTACAATTTCTTATAATTTTTACCCTCTTCACTTTAACAGTCGAGGAAAACCACTTTTAAGTCTAATGTTCTACATTTTTTTCATTTCTTTTTTTTAGAAAATTAAAATAACTCTTATATACATTTACTATTTTTTTTAAAACAATATATGTTATTTCTTAATTTTGTTAATAAAATATAATTAATTTCTTTATTTTTTAGTTTATAGAAATTTTGATATTTAAAGTCTAACACTAACTTGGAGAATAATTTACCGTATGTTTGGTAGATACCTATCTTATCTTATCCAAAATACATATTTGTTTCAATATTCTTAAAATCCATTCATATTCTATTCAACTCAAAATATTTTTTTACCCCTTAAGTTTATGAATTTAACTAAACACCCCCAATGATAAAAGTTTATAAATGAATAAAAACACTCCCACCTACCCACATATTCCTGACAACCGGCCACCAATGTCAAAAGGTGACCGAAATCTGTCGGAATGGCACACGACCAACTAGATGTGGTCGTCGTGCGCCAATCTGGACTTTTTCGACCAAATTCATGGTAGATCTGGCCGGAAAACAGAAAAGGCTAGATCAGCGCACGATCGACTAGATTCAGTCGGTCGTGCGCCATGCAGCCGACTTTCGACCGGCTGTTAGCATTTAATGGATGGATGGGGGTATTTTTGTTAATTTTTAATATTTTATTATAGGGGGTGTTTAACTAAAATTAACAAATATAAAGAGTATTTTTGTTAATTTTTAAACTTATTCTCGTAATAACAATTCAACTTAACTTTTTCAAAAATACTCTACCAAATACACCCTTAAAAAAAAAAAAAAAAAAATTCTAGTCACGTCGACTTTAGCGCCAGAGCTACTAGATTGAAGATTATACAGAGATAAAATTAGAACAAAAATGGATGAAATGTATTATCAACTGAACCAATTAAAAAAATGTCATATTTTAACTTGTTAAAAACAAAACGGCTCTTTTAAATATTTTTCTCTTAATCGAATAAGATTTTCATTGAGATAATTAAGGAAATAATTAAACGTAAGACAAGTATAATAACAATAATTAAGCAAATATTTGATTTGGTCCACAGTTAAGAGCCTAAATAACAATATTTCAAGTCTTTTTACTAAGAAATGAAAGGAAATAATATAGGGTGCATTTGGTTTAATATTTCAATCCATATTCTGAATCATATTTCCAAAATATTTGTTTGTTTAATTATTTATGAAAT